AGTAATTCAATTACAGTACAGTGCCTTCGATATGTGTCTACACCCAGCTAAATCTTGCCACCATGTGGCCAAACAAGGAAGTACTGTTGTTGAGGTACACATGCAACGAAAATGAAATTAAACAAACACAGAGAGAGCATTACAATTATATGTTGGCATTCACAAGGAGGTAAATGAAAGACAAAGGTATTTGCTCAAAACGTTTTGCAAAAGGGTTTATTGTCGAGTGCAGGAAGGAGTTGTTAAACGAATTACTTTTAGGACGCAGCATGCATTAAACATTTTTCCCCAATAGGTGCTCTTTCTTCCTCTCTGGATTGTTTCTCAGCATGTTGATGCTGTTTTCCTACCCAGCTGCTTTCCTAGACAGTTTTGCTATAATTTAACCATCATGGGAGTGCATTGAGATTCTAGAGGTTCCTTGGGTTCCAAACGTAGTTGCCTCAGATCTGCCTGCACATGGCAAGATCTGTTCAAGTGTCTGGTGGCCTCACCAGGAAATTAGGGGAAGAAATTGCAGGGACAGTGCAATGTATGTGAAGGTATGTGTGCACATATACATATAATTACCCTTATTTTCAGCCCAGAACTGTAGTCAAAAAGGAGAGTTCAGTTAATCTGCACCTGGTATATACAGAGCAACTGTTAATATCTCCACAATCAACTCAATATTCAGAAACCTGGCCACCCTTCTTGCTTACCCAATATCATTCCATATTCATATTTCCTTATTCTGATTAATTCTAGGTTAGTACCAATCAATAGCACCAAATACAATCAAGTATATTAAAATGATAGCATAAATATAATAAAGTGTAATGTAGGCCAAGTTTCTAAATACAATTATTAATCATCATCATAACTCAATACCATTCCAAGTTAGTTGGAATGTATTATCGCAGTTGATATCTAATCCATATCTATTTCCCATAAGGTTTATAAACAATACCCAATTATCATAAAATTTGAGGGTTTTCCCTGCAACTGAATGTACTCTGCAACCTTTCTACGTTATTCCACATTTTAACCAACCACATTTTCACTGTTGGCATTTCATAGATGCTCCACTTCATAGCAATCTTTTCCTCCCCAGCCAAAAATAGGAGTGGCACACTTTTTTTTAGTGAGGTGAATGTGGGATGTGTGTGGAAATGTGGACATAAAGACTGAGTACAGTGGTACCTCTGGTTATGTACTTAATTTGTTCTGGAGGTCCGTTCTTAACCTGAAACTGTTCTTAACCTGAAGCACCACTTTAGCTAAAGGGGCCTCCTGCTGCTGCCCCTCCGCCACCGCACGATTTCTGTTCTCAACCTGAAGCAAAGTTCTTAACCCGAGGTACTATTTCTGGGTTAGCGGAGTCTGTAACCTGAAGCGTATGTAACCTGAAGCGTATGTAACCTGAGGTACATTGTACACTTAAGTGGACAGCCCTAATGGGGGTTTTCAGTTTGGAGAAAAGGTGATTAAAGAGGGGAGCATGATAGATGTGCATGCATGATGTGGATAAAGCAGATAGCATCCAGTGAACCCCAATCTCCAAGGGGTGAGAGATTTAAGGGGTGTGAGCACATACCTTGGAATGGGCTTCCTCAGAATGAAGCCCATCGGAGACTCTGGTGTCTTTTGGATATAGAGCTTTATTTACACAGGCTGAGCATAAGACGGAAGTGTCTGCAGTTTTATTGCTCCAACACATCTTGCTCCCCTATTGATTTCCAGCCCTCCCTCCCTCTCGCAAAGCCATAGCTTTGCTTGCCGCACAAAGAGTTGGGCCTCGCTGTGTCTTCCCAGCTCCAGAGGAGATCAGAGTTTGAATCCTGCTCAGTCTGATGGTGCTGTTCCTTGCTGGGAACAGGTGCACACAGCCAACACAGGGTTTAACCCCACTCTGCTGCCCAGCAGATGATGACATGAGAGATATAAATCAATGTCTATGTGAAGTTAAGGTTGTTACATCTTACATCATGAAGACAGATGCAAAAAGAGTTCATAAAACTTCTCTACAATCTTCTTATCCTTCTATAGCACACCTTTAACTCTCTTGTCCAATCACCTCCCCAGCTGGTTTCCTTTCTCATATGTTTAAATATATTTATATGGTTGGTCTAAATGTTTTCGGAGATACGCTGCTCATATTATTTTCACATCCGCTTGCTTTTCTTGTGCCAACATTGTGTTCCGTGTTGTTCCCATTTGGGCAAGAGCTCCATTTTCTGAATGAAGCTTACTTGCCTCTAATAGCTTCCTTGACTCTGCTCATTAATCATGCTGCTGTTTTCTTGGACTTCGTAGGACTGCTCTTGCCCTGCTCCTCTTATTTAAATAACATGTGAGCTTCCCATGGGCATATGTTGGCAGAAGCAGATTTAGGGCAGTGCAACTGGTTGTGCCACACTGGGTGCCAAGTCTAGGGAGCACTACAGGGCATCGGAACTATGACACATAGTGAACTGAGCAGAACATAAGGTGAGAGGCAGGGGCCCTGAATATTGGTGTTGTGCAGGGCACTGCTGAAATTTGAAAGACCAAAGTCTGTAAAGGAGTGGATTCATATTTCCAGAAAGCTTAGGCCATTTCCCTGTGGTCTTATAGCTCCCCCCAAAATATGCATTAAAAACAAAATTGTTGTAACGTTTAAAAGCTCAAAAGCAAAAACCATAACTTTTCTTCCCATTTCAAATTACATCAGGAAGAGCAATTGCTGATAGTGCCACCTTTCACCACGAGATGGCAGAGTTTCACCATCTTTCCCACTGATAAATAAAGACTTAAAGAGTTGCTAAACTGCTACAGCCAAGCATAAAGGGGTTTGTTTGCTTTTTGCTCAAGCATAAACATGCTTTTTCTCTGAGACACCAAACACAATTTTCTTCAGTGTAGCAATGTCTGTAATCCAGTCTAGTGCCTGCAAAAGGTGTATTGAATATCAGCCAAGCTTTTCCTCTGTGGAAATTCACAGATCAAACATTTCTGAATGAAAAGGGAGCATTTGAAAAGCTTCCCTCAAATGCATGAGGCTCTATAATTTCCAGGAGTGTGCATGTAGGGCAGAGATTATGAGGAAGAAAGATAGAGTTTCAGGAATTCCAAGTTCAGCCAAGATTTAAAGAGCAATTTGAGTGCATTGTGGGAAAATCATTCTTTGCCCAATCCATTATCAGATGTTTCAAAAACCAAATGACATATTGAATCTCCAGTATTTGACTCATAACTTGCCAGGGGCTGACAGGAGTTATAGTTCAGTAATATCTGGAAGGCCAAATGTTCCTCATACAACCTGTTAACCTTATTTCTGCCCATGTGATGTTGAGTACACGCTTACTTTTTCTGATTGCCTTATAATAATGCCAACCAGCCACTTGGAACATCAAAGTTGAAATCCAGCTTTCCACAAACAATTAACTCCACATATGTTGAGCTCTCATCAGCCCCAGCCAGTAATGCCAATGTTAAAGGCTGATGGGTGTTGTAGTCCAACATATCCGGAGGGAACTAGGTTTCAGCAAGGCTTATCAAATCCATTAGTGTTAACCACTGTGAGAGCAACAGAAAGGCCAAAGGCCAAATGGAGACTCTTCCCCTAAAGGTAAAGGGACCCCTGACCATTAGGTCCAGTCGTGGCCAACTCTGGAGTTGCGGCGTTCATCTCGCTTTATTGGCCGAGGGAGCCAGCGTACAGCTTCTGGGTCATGTGGCCAGCATAACTAAGCTGCTTCTGGCAAACCAGAGAAGCGCATGGAAATGGCGTTTACCTTCCCGCCGGAGCGGTACCTATTTGTCTACTTGCACTTTGATGTGCTTTCGAACTGCTAGGTTGGCAGGAGCAGGGACCGAGCAACGGGAGCTCACCCCGTCGCGGGGATTCGAACTGCCAACCTTCTGATCGGCAAGTCCTAGGCTCTGTGGTTTAACCCACAGTGCCACCCGTGTCCCCTAGACTCTTCGCCTAGCACCCCCCAAAAAAACCCATCTTAAAGTGTTCCATGCCACCTGTACCACAGCAGATTGTAAGAGAGCCTGAGTGGCGAAAGTGCTGGCGTTTTGGTGGAGCAATGTTTCTTCCATTTTGGCCTCTTAAGTCAGCTGCCCCAATTTAAGCACAAAAACAGTGAGTGGAGCATCACCAGTTTTATTGACCCAACTCCACCCAGGCAGCCTGGTTCACAAAGATGTAGGAGGAGCCCAACCAACCCCATGTGGGATTTAAGTCATGACCTCTTGGCCCCCAACACCCCCCAGAGAGGTAGCCTGCGTCAGCGGCCATATCAATTTCCCATTAAGATCCAGCATCACAAAACAAAAAGACTACAGTCGTCTTTAGGCCTCTGATGAAGGCTAGGACTCAGAACACAAAGGGTTACAGCAGGGGTCAGCAAACTTTTTCAGCACGGGGCTGGTTCACTATCCCTCAGACCTTGTGGGGGGCTGGACTATATTTTGAAAATAAAAATGAACGAATTCCTATGCCCCACAAATAACCCAGAGATGCACATTCTACTCATGTAAAAACACGCTGATTCCTGGACCATCTGCGGGCTGGATTTAGAAGGCAACTGGGCTGGATCCGGCCTCCAGGCCTTAGTCTGCCTACCCATGGGCAAGAGAATGATCCCATAGGGAAGGAAAAGAGGTCATACTATAAGCAGCCCTGAAATGTCTACCTTGTGTATCTCTCCTACCTGGCTTGTTTATTGCTTGTCTTCAGTGTTGGGGAATGCAATGGGTGAGAGAGAAAGAGAGAGCGAGGGAGAGAGAGAGATTTTCCTACGGAATGATTCATTGCAGGCAGCTAGTGGATATGCTAGCCCCAAATGGGGGTAACCAACAGGTGCCCTTCAGATTTTGCTAGATGCCCATTTTCATCATTCCTGATGATTGACCATCATTTGGAGGGTACCACATTGGTTACCCCTGCCTTAAATAAATACATGCATCTTATTGTTCTAACCACATATACTTGCGTCCTTCCCAAAGATATACAACCAAAGGCCAAAGCATGTGAGTTATTCTGACTTTTATTTTGTTGCTTCTTAGTCCACACAAGTTGGTATAAAATCAGAAAAGCAAAGCAAAATAATCATATAATAATGTCTGGAGTCTTAGCATCAAAAGGCACCGCTTACACATCTACACACGGCTGCCAATACAGTTCATTGCCAGACACACTTTGGGGGGGGGGACACACAGAAAAGGGTTACAGAGGAGCTGGAAGGAGGGAGGGATCCTCAAGGGGCTAGAAGGTTCACTTACTTCCCTCCCGACCATGAAGTAAAAGGAGTGGGGGAGAGAAATACCTTGGTTATAAATGCTTTATTAAAAAATAATAATAGTAATAATGATGATAGCAACTTTCCTAAGTACAAAAGCAGTTACAGGCTGTATATATTACACAAGAATTATTTATCATTCCTATTCCTTGGTTTATCTCAAAATCGTTATCTGACTTTCCAGTGAGTAAGGTTAAATGGCTTAGCGATATAAGGAATGGTAAATAGATAGCACCATTTCACAGATTTGGTATTCAATTTTGTAAAAGGGGTTATGAAGAGGGGTGGGGTGGGGGTCTGGAACTTAGAAGGGTTCCTTGCTTTCCCCTATTTTAGCTTATTCTTTCTGCCTATTGTCCCAAAACGGGCAAGGTTGGGGGGCAACACACCAGTGGGTAGTTACAAACCAACATGGCGGACTTCTTTTTCGTCCCGTGTCTCCCTCCAGTGTTTCTTCTTCTTAGCATCAGTGCTCATCTTGGCCATCTCAAAGTACGGAGAAACGGACCTGATTTAAAGAGGGATTTATGAAGGACTGGCGACATTTCTGTGCTCCCAGGAGCTCCAGTTGTCATACGAAGAGGGGGGTGGGGAAGGTGGTGATATTATGCAGCTTCTGGTTGCATTGGTGGGACTATCCTTCACATACGACACCACAGCTTGACTAGCATTCCAAGGGGTTCCAAAGCTGGGCTCACCCAGCCATGCGTTCCTCATCGTTGACATTCCCCTCCCCTCTACGTGGCCATTGCAACCCATCTTTTAGTTAACGTGAGCATATGAGGGGCATAAGCAAACATCAGTGCAGTGGGCGGCATATCACACCTATCTGAGGACCAAGTTTATGGCTCTTGCCTTGTCATGTGGCTTGGGGATTGGAAGTGGAGAGCTATGGAGGAGGGATCCATTTGCTTCCACAGCAAGAGGGGAGGGGGAACGGCACTCTGATTATGCTGTTAGGAGTTAAAGAGTCCTTAGGCACTTTCTTTAGGCTTTAAACATGGCGGCAGGTCAAACAAACAAAAGCAAACAGTACTATGTACATATATGTAAAAAGTGTTATAAATAGGTTTTTTTTAAACCATAGATACTATATACATCTTCAATGAACACAGTAACCCTTCTTTCAGTTTGGTTGTTTTTTTCCTTGTTGATATTGTTTTGGTTAACTTCCTTTTTATTTGTTTGTTTCCATTTCCTAACTCATCAAGGCCCCCTTGTCCTGAGTGCTGTAGTCTCAGCGGCCGCCCTCGACACATCATTCGCGCTTCCTCAGGATGATGTAGATCACCCCACTAATGACAGCCAGCGGGAAGGCCACCCAGGCCAGGATGTACGAGAAGCCAAAGGAGATGCTGTCTACAGGGGGATGCCAATCTGTATGTCTCGCCGTGAAGATGGTGGCCCCGGACATCACGCATAGACCTGCGGAAGAGAAGTCAGCAAAGAATGTAAGCAAGCCAATCCAGGTCCAACATGGAAGATCAAGCTGGGATGTGTCTGTTATAATGAACATCTCTCCTTCTCCACCTAACTCCTTCTGGACTTCCCTACCACAATATTTAACAAGATCCATCAGCTTGGGGGCCTTTAAATAAATTCATGGAGGACAAGGCACTCTCAATATCTGCTCGCCACAGACCTTGACAAGATATGCCTCCGAATGCCAGTGGCTGGGGAAAGAGCTGTTGTGCTCATACCCTGCTTAGGAGCACCTCAAGATGCTACTGTGAGAATAGGATACCAAACTAGGCAGGCCTTTGGCCCAATCTGGCAAGGTTCCTCTTACGTCAAGAAATTTCAGGCTGCAAGCAGGTGTGAGCAGCCTTTTTGCCCCCAAGGGCCAACTGGGCGAGTGCTTGAGCATGTACGCATGTGCACACATGCTCTTCTGGCTTTCAACGTATCTCCCTGTTGAGGAAGAGAAACCCAATAGGGAAAGAGACTTTGAAAGCAGGATCACACAGGTGCTTGCCAAGAAGAGCCTCACTTTCTAAGGTTCTGCAAACTCCAAGGCATCACTATCTTTTGCAGTTTTGTATTCTTCAATATAAGGACCTTAGCATTGTTTGTTTTTAATCAGCTTTGAGAAGAGAATTAAATTCATGCAGGATCAGCCTATCCTTCTATCTCCAGAAACACCACATCTTGGATTTACTGTGGTATACAGTACCTAAGTTTTCCTATTACAACTGCCACCTTAAAAGTTCCTCTTAACTGAAAGAAATGGCCACCAATCCTCTTTTTTGAGCTGGGAGGAGTCTGCAATGCCCAATCGAGGAAATTGGATCAGCCCTCTCTTCCTACGAAGGACTGCTCCATTGCATTTCAACAGGTACGCTGGTCTGGCTGAGGCCCTACTCTATAATGTATTAGGGAATAATTAATCCTGCCTTGCTGCTAATAATTAAAGCAGAAGTTTGTCTTCTTTTTTTCCACTCTGCTGCCTCCAGTGCCCTAAGCCCCTGTGATCAAAGCATGAGCAGGTCAAGCCAGGCCCCCTTCCTGCACTAATGCCTCTAAGTTCAGCATCTTTGTATTGCCACCTCAGCAATACCAGCTCTAGAACTATTTCCTCCCTCCTCCTGAAAAGCTCAGCACCAGCGACTGCCAGGATTACACAATGGCTCTTCTATTCAGTGCCCAGAACAAGGCCTTTTCATTGATCCCAGCAATTCCACAACCTGCTCAATGTGCCACCAGAGTAGTCTCTGTTCCAAAGCCCTGTGACCTCAGGACCACCTACACCTAACCACAGTGATATTTGAGCTGTTCTTTCCCTCCACACTGCCCCCTTTGTTTGCACAAAAGTGCAGGAGTGGGAATGTGTTGAATTCAGAAGCTGCTGATGCAGCTCCCATTCTCTGGGCCATCGAGAGGACACCCACAGCCACAGCCACCAGCCCATGGACTGGGAGCATAAGCAATTGTCTCTCACTTTGGGTGGGAAGGGGTGGAAAAAAAGAGCAGAGCAGAGTCGTGCCACAAATCACCTACTGGCACTAGACAAGAGTGTGTGGATTGTGCATGGGAAGAGCTGGGAAGGAGGAGGAGATGATGGTGGTGATTTTGTTTCTGCTTGAAGTAACCAATTTTTTTCACTGGACCTCCAACAAGTGTGGAGGGTGGGTGGAGAGAGAAGGCACTTAAAGGGCTAGGGAATTAATACAAATGTCTTCTGTTCCCATCTTGCAAAAGAAAATGGAAAGTCCGTTCCTAGAGACAGTATCTGATGCAATCTCCATGGGAGAACACCCACCGGTGGAGCAAAGGCCACCGGGTTCATCTCTGAACCAGAATAGAGTTGAAATTCCAGCGCTCATTTGCATCTCTAGCAAAAGGAGGGCACACGCAGAAGAAGTTGGAAGCACTATCCTATAGGATAGGAGAGGAAGATGGCACCAGTCAATTGATTTGGGCCTAACATAAAATTTAGCCGTCCCAAATAATTCCCCCGCCCTCCAACTTTGAGCATTGGAAGAAACTTCAAAGCAACATATTTGAGCCACTGGAAACACCAGGATAAGCTTTGTATGACTGAAACCTGGTGCTATGGAACGTTTGCATTCAAAGTCTAGAACTGGGAACCCAAACACAAGTGTTATTTTGAAAGTCAGTATCTGTCATGCACACAAATTGATCTTGTAATCTGATCTACTTCTGCATGTCTCTGCAGAAAAAAAACCCCTTCAGATTTGATAGATTCATAACATGCTGTATTCAAATGCTGATGGCATCAATCGGTCATTATAAAAGTAAAAAAAAAAATCTGCATGAAAGTTGCTGAATTTGGCATAATAAACCTATTATGAAAGCATATGCTCAAAACTCAGATTTTGTTTTCTAGTTATAATACTGTGTAACCATCATGTACTCTGAGACTGAGTTCAGTTTTAATTGCATTTCCTGGATAGTTCACTTGGTTAGAGCATGGTGTTTATAATGCCAAGGTTGCAAGTTTGATCAGCTGCATATTCCTGCATTGCAGGCGGGTGGACTGGATAAACCTTAGGGTCCCTCTCGCTGAAAGACCCACACAAAGAACAGAAGTACACCTAATATTACCCAGACAGTTCCCTGTGATCAGCACCCTGCTCCTTCCAAAGATGCTGGAAAGTTACACATTAAAACCAGGCATATTTAAACTGCAGTTTATAAGTAGCACAGGGCTGAGTCACAGGAAGGAAGGTTGCCTTGGGGGCAAGATCATCTGCAAAGAAAGTGATTGACGGCTTGGAAAATGCTTTCTCATGGACTGGAGAGCAGGGCTGGCTTCCAAATGCTCCACCCAACAGAAACAGAGGTTCCAATTGCTCACACTGAATTGGCCGGAGAGAATCAGGAAAAACACGAACAGGAGCTATCTTTATGCTGGCTGCTGAGGCTCCTAAATCTTCACAGCTACCAGCAACTGTATATACAAGGTATGGATTAATGTCCATAAAGCCCCAGGAATGTTATGAGGAAATGCAACCCTGACTTTGAAAAAGCAAACCTTTTTGGAGGAATGCAAATTAATCTGAGCACAAGCCAAAACAGCTCCCACTCTGGAGGCTCTTAAACAGACTCTCTCTCTCTCTCTTTAGGAGCCAGGGTGTGGAATGCTCACCCAATGCTAGGCTGAAGTGCAGTGAGATGAGGGACAGGAGAAGCTGCTGCTGACACAAGAACTATTCAGAAGCACACAGCAGCTCCCTTTCAAGCCTGGCGCTACAGCAGTCAGAACTGTGGACTGAGTGGGTGAATGGCGGTTGATGGTACTTCGGCCCTGGGAAAGTGGTTGGCAAGCGTGCCACAAAACAAGTCCAAGAGATGGTGCCATTGCAGAAGGCAGTACATAAGGCAGTCCTGATTATCTTAGGACAGTGATGGCCAGACTTGGCCCTCCAGCTGTTTGGGGACTATTGAAGAGCATTCTTCTCTTCAAGGATCTGTGCCAGCTGGGATTGTGATGAAACATCAATGAGTTGCTTCAGGTTTTCAGTTTCTAAATGATACCTCTTCAGAAGGGCACCCTCATCCATAACGTCATTTATTATGGGGTGATTTTTCATATTTTTTGCTGTACTAGCAAACTGGAGGGTTCTAAGAGTTTCTTCAAATGATGTCAGAGTGACTGTGCAGATTTCCACCCAGTGATTTGTGGAGAATCCATGTCAACGTACTGTCTCTGTAGTTAATGCTGTTAGAGGGGTTTTTTCCTCTGGTGGCAGATGACAGAAACTACGACACCACGAGACTGGTGTAAAACAAATCAAATAAGGGCTTTATTACAAAAAAAAACAAAACTTGTGGGCGTTTCCTCCCTGCAGGCAAAGTTCAAAGTGCAACTTTTCCTCCTTTTGTAGTCATGACCAGCTGTACCCAATCTGCCCAGAGCTCACAGAAACAGTTCTTAAAGGTACAAACATCTTTACTGTTTCTTTGCAGAATGATTCCCAACAAATGTAGGCTCCAGTCTGATCTTCACAAAGTTTATTGATAACTTGGCTCAAGATGGAGAGGCTCCGGTTTACAGGTGAAACTCGAAAAATTAGAATATCATGGAAAAGTTCATTTATTTCAGTAATTCAACTTAAAAGGTGAAACTAATATATGAGATAGACTCATGACATGCAAAGTGAGATATGTCAAGCCTTTATTTGTTATAATTGTGATGATTATGGCATACAGCTGATGAAAACCCCAAATTAACAATCTCAGAAAATTAGAATATTAAATGAAATCAGCAAAACAAGGATTGCAAATAGAGCAATATTGGACCTCTGAGAAGTAGAAGCATGCATATGTACTCAGTACTTGGTTTGGGCCCCTTTTGCATCAATTACTGCCTCAATGCGGCGTGGCATGGATGCTATCAGCCTGTGGCACTGCTGAGGTGTTATGGAAGACCAGGATGCTTCAATAGCAGCCTTCAGCTCTTCTGCATTGCTCGGTCTCATGTCTCTCATCTTTCTCTTGGCAATGCCCCATAGATTCTCTATGGGGTTCAGGTGAGTTTGCTGGCCAATCAAGCACAGTAATCCCATGGGCATTGAACCAGGTTTTGGTACTTTGGCAGTGTGGGCAGGTGCCAAGTCCCTGGAAATGAAGTCAGGCCTCCCATAAAGCTCGTCTGCGGAGAAACATGACGTGCTCCAATCTCCTGTACGCTGCATTGACCCTGGATTAATGAAGCAGTGACCACACAGCTGATGTACCGGCTCCCAAAGCAATACAGAACTGTGAGACTTCAAAGGATCAGGCATCTGCCAATGTGCTCTTTTCACCTAGACTTGGTTTGGTTTCCAAATGAGATCGCACCGAAGTTGCTCTCATCAGATATAAAGAGGCTTCTTGGTGCACACTGAGCAACAACCAGTCTTTTTTCCTTTAGCCCAGGTAAGACACTTCTGACCTTGTTTCTTGTTCAGGAATGGCTTGACAAGAGGAATACGACATTTGAAGCCCATCTCCAGGATCCGTCTGTGTGTGGTGGCTCTATGATGCACTACTCCAGCCTCAGTCCACTCCTTGTGAAAGTCCCCAACACGTTTGAATGGTCTTTTCCTGACAATCCTCTCCAGGCTGTGGTCATCCCTGCTGCTTGTGCACCTTTGTCTTCCACACTTTCCCCTTCCACATAACTTTCCATTAATGTGCTTCAATACAGCACTTTGGGAACATCCAACTTCTTCTGCAATTACCTTTTGAGGCTTTCCCCTCCTTATGGAGGGTCTCAATGATGGCTTTCTGCACAACTGTCAGGTCAGCAGCCTTCCCCATGATTGTGCTTCCTACTGAACCAGACTGAGAGACCATTTAAAGGCTCAGGAACCCATTGCAGGTGCTATGGATTGAATAGCTACTGCACCTTTTCACAATATTCTAATTTTCTGAGGTTGTTTTTTCCAGACAATGTTCCCTTTCTCAGCAAGGTCTGCATTCTCTCTGGCAGGGAGTGGGTGCACCCACATGCAGACAGTTACGGCGCCTTCCTCACACCATGCATAACAGAATTGTTGAATACAACCAGAGAATTCTTGTTGCTTACAATAGTAACCAGCCTTTTTCAATAGTAAGCATAATTATTAAATTATTAATAATTTAAATTATTAAAATTCAATTGCTAAATGTGCTGTGCTGTCATCTAAATGATTTTTTAAAAATATTAAATATCCTATATTATTTTAAGTTGTCTTGCCCTTTCTTTCTTTAGAATGTTGTGTAAGAAATTTAAGAATAATCCTACATACATGCAGAGCACATGACAGGTTAGAAAAAATCATGTTCTGCATCTTAACTTTGCTATTCTGGAGTCTCCCTTGCTTTCCATCATTAACCAATGCTCCATCTTGGACAATTTCCCGTGGCAATGTTCCAGGATATGCAATTCCACTCCCCTTTACTTACCAGCAAGGATCTGGAAAATGCCAGTAAGGTAGAACCGTCCGCCCTTAGTGAGAGTGAAGAGCTGGCAGAAGAACAGGAACAAAGACAATACGCTGAAGATGATGGAAAGGATCATCAGAGCTTGGACACCCTGCAGCCATTCTGTAAAAAAAGGAACACACACACAAAAAGCCATTAGGGCAATGCAGACCAGAGGTAGAGGTTCTACAGATTTATCTGTGCAAGGGCAGAAAATTCCCTTCTCTGGCTGCTGAACATGAGATAGCAAAGCAGTAAAAAAAAAAGATCCAGTGATTCTCTTTGTATGAAAGCTACAGTACAAATCTATTGACTATCATAAACATATATATCAATCGTAGCCAACATGGTGCCTCCAGAGACTGTTGGACTACAGCTCCTCAAATCCCTCACCATTTGCCATGTTGGATAGGGATAATGGGAGTCCAAAAAAACATTTGGAGGGCATCAGGATAGCTACCCCGCTATGTGTTAATAGAAGTCAAGCACTTTCAGACTCTGCTGTTGGGGCACATGTTTCTTCCTGGGAAGGTAACCAAGCAGTTCCAGAATTAAGGCACCAATAGAGTCTCTTGCAAATCTCACCTCAAGCATACAAGGGTGTTTTATAAGTGCTGCTTCTGGGATGAGCAGGAACTGAGCAATTTTTCTGGCCATTTGTGCCATCTCCAACCAAACCTTCAGTGCTTTTTATCCAATTTTCAGAGGATAAACACAGAAAGTACGACAAGGAGACCACAACTTACTCACTGGCTCACAACTCTCCCAGAACCTAATAATGAAGCAGCTGTTCATAGCCCCCTTTCTATCATTTCCAGAGCTAGCTTGCCTGCAGCTCTTGATATTTTACCCATTTGGCGAGGTTGGAAGTTCCTGGCTGAGTCAAACAAAACTAATTGACACGATTGCCCTTTAGGGATGCAAAGCAGGGCCAGCTAGAGAGAGCTAGAGGACCAGATTCAGCCTGCAGTTCGGAGGTTCCCCACCCCAATTTTGTCACATTCCACAGTCATTTGCTAGACGCTATGCTCATGACCCAAGATCGCTAACCACAGCACTTCATCTGAATGACCTGCAGTTGTGGGAGAAGAATTGCAGTTTCCAAACCACTGATCTTATCAGTGGCCTGAGGAACTGAACATTTGCAATTTCTCCATGGCAGCAGTGCTTGCAGCAATATGCTGGCAAGAGGGTTTAGAGAAGCAGCTGTGCAATCTCCAGAGGGGGTAGAACAGCAGCTATTTAGAAAGGGCCCGACATGGCTGCTGCTTCGACCAGGGTGCTAAGAAAGCTGCAAAAGTCTGAAATAACCAAGCATCGTTAAGTGACAGTCCTGTCCCCATTTGGAACCTTAGGCGAGGCACTTGCAGCCCAGCTGTCAAAAGTCAGGAGACTTACAACATGAGCTCAGTCAAAAGGCCATCCTTGATGTCTGAGTCAGAGCTGAACTATTTGCATGCCTTGTGGGTGGGTAAGTGTCCTTGCAAAACAAACACTACAATGAGCACTCCGAATACCACAACAGCGCACTGCTTCACCCCAGGAACCTTTAAGTTTCTCTATAACACAGTTTACTCCTGCAGGCATAAAAGGGAGACGGCAGGGTTGGCTTAACCCAGTGGAACAGCTCCACCTATTTATAGCCCCCTGGAAGTTAGCAGACCAAGCAAAAAGATTGCTCAACTTGCACATGCAACAGACGGCCTTTCAATGACTAGGGCTCTTACTACTGCTGCTTTGTCTAGGAGGCATAGAAGCCTGCAAACTGGTGGTCTGGCTATTCTAAGGCAGGCTCTGAGAATTTCATCAGAGCCCTAGCTTTGCATATTTTGGAAGCAAGAGGGGCTTCAATGGAACATCCTTTGGATGAGAGGCTTGTGTGCTGTCAAGTCTGTACCATCTGCTGTTTCTGTTTATGGTGCCCAGGTCCTCTCTGCCTTAAAAGAGTTCCATCCTGACCCACAATGTATCCCATCTTCCTTAGCAAAACATGAAAGATTTGGGCATTGGGAATCTGGGTACATATTTTATCTAATATTGCCATAGTTCTTTTGAAATCACAGCTTTTAAAAGAGGTTTTGGCCATTGCACTTGATTTCTTATGCAGAAATTTACGATATCCTGATTATTCCCATGCAAACACCATATTAACTTTAGTTTTAATTTACTGTAATCATCTCTCTCTTCCAGCCCCCATTTCAGCTACAACATAAACTTCTGCAAACAGAAGTCCTGAATATCCCCAAAGCTCAGGTTTTTTAAAATTCTTTTCAATAAATGCATTGTTTATTAAGAAGGAACATAGTAATATTTACTCAGTATATTTAGGCCATAATCCCAAGAGGCAAATTGGAGGCAAATTCCAGTGTTTCAGCATTGAAACTTTTGTATGTTTTCAAGAAGGCTTATAATTTTTTCTTGATTTTACTGCTTTATTATTTGTGAAATGCTTTGAGGGTTTTTGTTTTTTTACAATCAAGCAGTGTATAAATTTTATGAAATAAATCCATAAATATTTCCATTTCACCACTAGAGATACTGCTGTGGAAAGACGTTAGCTGGCAGCTCAGAAGACAGACTTCAATTATGTAGCAGTGGGGAAAGTAGGGCTTGTACTACTAGATAAGTCCATTAATAGGGTCAGATAAAAATGGTGAATATTGGGCATTCACTGTTCTTGGTGAGTCACTCACGTTCCCATCCTATGCACACTTATTTGGTTTCAATGAGTCTTACTTCCACCATAAGTGTGCTTAGGATTTTGCCCCAATCATGTTAGATATTTTACAGAAGCAAGGGCCAGCTGTCATTCCAGTATCCCAAATAAATCTCAACTCCCACACGTACATCCTGCTCCCTTAGAACTTCATCTGGAGTCATTCATCCAAGCAGACTGTCTATCACAGGAGAACGACCCACACCAAAATTAATGGAAGCCAATTCAAACACTACCGAGGACAAATATACAGTAATTCGCTCTTCCAACAATACCCAGTTTTCCAAAAATGTGTACGAACCACAGGGATATTTCCTATGAGATTTCACATATGATTGTATATCTGAGGCTTCTGAAACTCTTGAAGCTATTTCACCATAAAATAGAGGATAGAAATATATGAAGTAGTTTCATACTGAGCAAGCACATTGGTCCATTAAGCTCAGCTTTGTGTAGACTTAGTGTCAATGGCTTCCAAGGACTGAACCTGGGACCTTCAGCATGCAAGGCATGTGATCTACCACTGAGCTACTTCCCTTCTCCCAAAAGCTTTCCCCAGATGTGGCACAATGCTACCTCTGATGGAATCCCAAGTCTTCCCACGGGCTCCCTTTTTATTGAACAGGAGCAGTCACTCTGCTGCTATTGCACAGCCAAATGCTGGCGGGTGGGTGCCTCTGCTGGTGAAAGAGAAGTTCTGGAAGGATTACAAAGTGTTGAAATGCAGTGTTTCCAGAAGGGATTGTGACTCGCTTCATGCACACCAGCGTAGAAGCCACTTTTCCATGATGTGATGGGACAGGGGGAGTGTCACAGAATGATGCAACAGTGTGGGTGGAGCGGATTGTGTGGGGCTTTCCTACAACTTTGACGGTGGGGTGCCCATTTTATGAGAAAGTCCTACATGATCTGCCCCACCCGCAAGTTGCAACTGAACCCCACAAGAGTCAGAGGGAGAGCTTTTACTCTTCACACACACAGACACACACCCTTTGAATAAAACTATCTGAGAGGAAGATAACATTTTGGAGATCGTTTAGGTGGTCTAATGAGAAACCCACATGAAGGGTTTCGAATGCCTAATTACTTTATTTCTTTTAGATTAAAAAGAAAGAAAAAGGAGGAGGAATAAGAATGATATGCACTGTGCAGGTTCTTTCAAGCCCTTTATCATTGTAGAAGCTTTCAAGAATGTAGCCCCAGGCAAATAAGAGCTATTACAAGTGTCACTAGTGTAAGCAACTAATAAATAAATGCAGCCGTCTCCAGATTGCAGGCTCTCAGAGGAAGAGAGCTGCAGTTGGAGGACTTTACAAGTGGCCCAGTTCATTTACTGACATGGTGTGCTTATTTCCCCCCAGGCACCAAGGGTCAAACACAGAGCAGAGCAGCAGCAATAGCCTAGTGGGAGCCAGTGTGGTGTAGTGGTTACAGCAGGGGTCGGCAACCTTTTTCAGCCATGGGCCAGTCCACCGTCCCTCAGACCATATGGTGGGCCAGACTATATTTTTTTGGGGGGGGAATGAACAAATTCCTGTGCCCCACAAATAACCCAGAGATGCATTTTAAATAAAAGCACACATTCTATTCATATAAAAACATGGTTCCCGGACCATCCGTGGGCTGGATTGAGAAGGCGATTGGGCCGCATCCGGCCCCTGGGCCTTAGGTTGCCTACTCCTGGGTTAGAGTGTGACCTTGGTCCAGTCACTGCCTCCCAGCCTAACCCCCTTTGCAGGGTTATTGTGAGGGATAACTGGAGAGGGGGAGAAATGTGTATGCCACCTTGAGCTCTTGGAACAAAAAGGTGGGGTGTAAATGCAAGAACTGAACAAAATGCTTTGAAAGCATGAAGGCACATGAAAGATAGACTCATCCCTTATATACCCAATTGATCACTGAACTCTGCAAGTGGGGGGGGGGGGGTTTGCTCCTGCAGGCATCATCTTATCAGGAGGCCCATTCCTGATTCCTCAGTGTAGGAATCTGGCCTTTAGCATGGCCACACCTACCCTATGTAATCCCACCCCCCTTTTTGAACAGTAGACAGTTGGCAACTGTGTTGCCTTTTCACAGCCCCTGCTGAAGACCTTCCTCTTCCAAAAAGCCTCTTAAATAGAGATATTCCCCAGTCTGGCTCTGCATGGAATTGTTTTTCTAAAATATGGGTAGGCAAACTAAGGCCCAGGGGCTGAATCCAGCCCAATCGCCTTCTAAATTCAGCCTGTGGACGGTCCGGGAATCAGCGTGTTTTTACATGAGTAGAATGTGTCCTTTTATTTAAAATGCATCTCTGGGTTATTTGTGGGGCATAGGAATTCGTTCATCCCCCCACCCCAAATATAGTCCAGCCCCCCACAAGGTCTGAGGGACAGTGGACCGGCTCCCTGCTGAAAAAGTTTGCTGA